CGCAGTGGCAGTAGGGGTTTTGGCAGTTTCGTAGCCGAAACCATCCTGGAGTCTGTATTCTTAGATGTCTGGGTCTATTTGCCTGTCTGGTGGCCTTTTACATTAATTTGTATGCTGCTAGCAGTCTTACAGCTGTGCGTTTCTCAAACTGGTTCACAACGGAGAGCGGTGATATGTGCCAGGCCTGGAGAAGCTTGACACGAGAAGTCCTTGTATTAATCTGGATCATGTATTCAACGAAGGCCCACTCGTCAGAATCACGAATCACCGCTGCAATGTGCTGGTCTGAAATGCGGCTGAATCCAGCCTCGTGGGCAGCCATTCCAGCGCATTGGTGATATTATGAACTGCTACGATAAGTAAAAGAATTTTAAAGTTCAACACGATACGCCTCCAAAAATAGTAGCAGCTACAGCTACATGATTCGCCCCAGCCAATGGTCCAGCCACTCAGCAGACGGGAGCAGCCCATTGTTGTGTGAATGCCCACACACTTTGATCCGTAAAAACAGGATGAACCATCATTGCAGATTCTTTCAAGAAGCTAATATTAGACAATTAAGACTTTAAGATAATTTTGGAACTCTTATCCGGGCAATATGCTGGAGCAAAACGCCATTTAGGATGGGGAGCTGACTGGGGGGCCACCACAACCGTCACGAGGTCACCAGGAGAAATAACCCGGCAACGGATGGCAAGTAAGGCAGAGAAACGTGAATAATGCCCCACATTTAAATGCTACTTCACTTTCAACTCTAGAAAATCAAATGTTGTGGACCTCGGCGAGAGAATTCCTGGTCCCGAAGTCGCCGGTACGCAACAAGCACGAAGAGGGCAGGGTTAATCACTGCAATAAATACTTCTCTGCTCAGACTAGACCTTAATTTATACACCGCTATTATTTCCCTTTGCAATGCAAGTGCAGGGGAGAACGATAGAAATAATTGGGCAAAGTCGGAGATGCTGCCGGTCCGGCGTGACCCGTCGAACGAAGGCGAACATGAGCATGGTGAACTCATAGTTGTTAATTCAGCATGATATATAGGCAACAAGACAGACACACTATACATACATGCACTCAGTAGTGCAATGGCTTCAGCTTCATGGTGACGAAGCAAACACTCTACACCATTACGCCGTAAGCAGGACAGTAGAACGCTTCATGGCACGAGCGAGGCTTCTATGCTTTGAGCACAAAACACCTGAAAATCATGATGAGCAGCAAGTAGCCATAGAGGAGGGTAGCACCATAAAGTTCATCAGCACCTGATAGTGTACGGTGGCGAAGTATTTTTGAACTCGTGTAGTTCTGCCGCCGTGAGACGCCCCAAAGTGCAGTGCTCCGAATTGTGCATACTAATTTGCAGCCAGCATGAAACAAACACGCAGGAAATTACCTTTCTCCAAAGAAGCAGTAGGCTCGATTTAGTGAGTCACACTTCTGCGTTACGACGGTCTGTTGAGCATCCAACTTGAAACCTCAAACTGCATTTTGTGCCATTCATCCTCATTATCTGACGGGATACTGCAAGCGTGTTCTGCAGAATTTAACTTCGCTCAACTACTTTGGAGTGGCGGGAAATACTGTGCACTAGGCACCGTGACACAAAAATCCAGTGGATGCGTTGTCGCCCATGTTCACACAAAGTTTCACTCGTCTGTCGAGCGAGCTGCAAAAACAGATTCACTGAATGGCTCGCCGCAAATTAAGAAGTGTCTCGCACCTATCAAAGGCACCTAACTCAGTAGTAGCGAGTATTAGTGCAGTAGAAAAACACACGGTCACTTTATGGATGCATTGTCGAGTAATACGATTCTTTTGCCGCGCAAATCCTGCTACCGCAGCGCTGCCCTGCTCCTGCCTCGCAGGGGACAGCATTCACAACTGCCACCGAACTCAGTAGCAGCGAGTATCAGTGCAGTAGAAAACTACACGGGCACTTTATGGATGAATTGTCGAGTTAATACGATTCTTTTTTGTTCGCAAATCCTGCTACCGCAGAGCTGCTATCTCTCCAGGGATAGAAGTCGCAAGCATCTGCAGAGCTCCTGAACGCACTGCCCGAAGTATCTTGAGCTGCACGGCTGACTTCTCGAAAGTTCACCGTCACTGCCAGGGCAGCTAGCCTTGGAAAGGCGGAATCAATCTGTGACTACCGATCGAGCTGTGGTCTATCCCCGTATTGTGCGCATGCTGCACCAAACCCACTGTAGCATGTTTGGCTATCCAGCTGAACAATGCGCGCCTACAGATGCAGGTGCACTCCGTGGATGAGCATAAGCAACGGGCGTTGAAAATTAACAGAGGTGCATATGTTTCTGAGGCTGCTGTGACTAGCACAAAAGCGCCTGGATAAATTCATCGTAAGCTCCGTTGGAGCAGCGAAGCTGCTGCCACGCTGGCCAGCAAATTGCACTTCACTGGAAGGAAGCTGCACGGTGCCGACTAAACACACTTCAGGACTCTGTCCAGGACTGTCTAAACCCACTTCAACAGAAAAATGGCTGAGAAATTCTGGCCATTAGTTGCAATTCGTCTCACGC